GTTGTTGATATGTGTTGTTAACATTCGCATTTGTATTATCTTGATATTTCTCGTTTGGGTATGTGATACATGTATTTGAGCTCTTCGACATACTTTATGTATCATATTGTTGAAAGCTCGTTTAAGTTCATTTCGAAAACTATTTGTAATTAGATACAACAGTGGAGATATGGTCACTTGAATAAATTGGCAATATACTGCAATAAAATATACAAACTGATCGATTGCTAGTTGATTTGATGTTTTTACATTGGATTTTGTAATTTGTCCATAGATATGATACATTGACGTAGGAAAACGAAGGAAAAAGTATATACTTAACTGAAGTATTAGAATAGCAATAAGATGTCGATCTTTTGAATGCATATGTTGTCTACGAACTCGTTTAATGTTGATCAACATTTGGGTTCCAAATCCAATCATCAATAAAAGCGGAATTATTGAATTAATGACAGAATAGTACGAGACAAAAGTGCTAGGACTGCCTGGTCTAGTAGTACAAACGAGCCGAACGCCATTTATAAGTTGAATTTCAGAAAAGAAGATGGCATACAAGTGAAAGAAAATCCAAAAGAAGCTAAAAAATCCAGTCATCAGTAAAGCAAAGCGTCGGTTACTACGTAAACGAGTTTGTGCATTAGATGATGAAATAATCGTTCGATCGAGACAAGCCATAGCCAGAAGATATGATGGAATGGCTGATGTAACCGAACTAATGTAGAGTCTTATACGACAAAAAACATCAGATCGAACAGATAGATCCATTCCAAAACTGCTAAGTAGATTAGGAACAAGATTAACATCGATAAAAATTAAATTTGTTAGCATGTATCCAATAAAGAAAATAATGCATGGATTGTTCTTCAGTGGTTTTTGGAAAAATGCAAAAAGACCCAGTACACTGCTGACATTGCCAATGGTGATGAATATCGGCAGTCCAATACGAAGCATCTGAGTTTGTATATTGGCTAGTGAAGCTGTTGTCATTTGTGCATGTTAAGAAAATGACTGTTAAGCAGCGGCTGATGATGCATCACTTCATATATAGATCTACACATTAGATATCGAAATTAATTCATAAACAGATCACTTTCTTTTCTGGAGAAAATGGAAACGAGCTCGAGAGAAATGAGAAAAGTGAGCTCGGAGTGGTTAATTAATAAGAAAAATGAGGAAAATGAGCTCGGTTTTTTCCGAGCTCAAAATAAGAGAAGTTAATCTCAGAAAAAAGTTCACTAACACTGAAGCAATGAAATTAGAGGAAAAGAGCTTCTTTTTTTTCTATATATGTGCACAGATGGTGATATAGACGAACGTATATGGTGAGTACAATGGATGAACAGGATAGAAAAAATGCTAGTGCATTGGTCGACGTATATCATACAACAACCTTTTCAAATACATATATCTATTGATGCTGATCTCGATTTAAAGGCTTCTGATTGGATTAATAAAGTTGATAGAACCGAAATATTACAACCAGATGCATTTACATAACATATGTAGTTCCTAAAAAAGAATCTCAAATGAATACTCATTCTTGGGTAAATTATTTGTATACAATGACCTGGTCATCCTATGAGCATTTCAAGCAGTGGTTGGACTCTGCACGAATCTTCAATTATTCTAACATGTTACCTCCAACATTCTGTTCTTGTAAATTTGGTCTCAAACAATATTCTTGCAGCCATACAATAGGTCTTATGATGATTTGGAGAGTTCGAGCAATCTCACAGTTAACTGGAAAAAGTAATATGAAAGATCGAAGAAAAAAATCTAAACATGCGCTGTCGAAGAACTGATTTTTGTATGTCGTAGTCTGAAGTATTTTATTATATATTAATAAATAATAAATTTGACATTAGTTATATGTCTGTTTGCCACACAAGATCCTGTTTATTCGTATACACATAATTTTGCTTTTCTCTTCATCGTATCGAACTGAGCTCTTTTCCTCTAATTTCATTGCTTCAGTGCTAATGAGCTTTTTTCTGAGATTAATTCCTCTTATTTTGAGCTCGGAAAAAACCGAGCTCATTTTCCTTATTTTTCTTATTAATTAACCACTCCTAGCTTATTTTCCTAATTTTTTTCGAGCTCAATTCTTCTTCGTCCTACACTTCTTGGCTCATATGTCTGAAGCTAAATTAACTATCAAAAACGCTGTCTTAGTAACTTTGCTATCGTAAACAGATGAACTCGTAGATTCTCATGTAAACAGCAATCACATCAATTTTATAAAACATTATCCATCTTCTCTCATCTGTATATTGAAGTAACATGCGATATAAAAGTAACGGGACAAATGTTGGCCCTTATTTCTCTTCAATAGAAGGGTGCTGAAAGAAATATTTTTTATCAAAAATAGAGCCTTTTCTCCTCTTTTTAATTATATATAACTGATTTTTGTAACATGTTCATAAGTGAAATGACATAACAGAAAAGAAAAGCACCCTGAAAAAGAATCGCATAATATGTCGATCCTTATATTTCTTCGATACATAGGTTCTGAAAAGAATATTCTTTTTTATCAGTTGATACGAAATTTTCTTGTCTATCGAACAGTGTATGATTCATATTTGCCATACATCGGTAAACGAAACGAGACGGGAAAAAAGAGAAACACTCGTGCAATAAATTTGTGAATTTTATATGAATTCGTTAAACACATCTCGTAGACGACAGTTACTTATTATTAACTGTCGTTTTACAAGATATTTTTAAAGAGTTCATAAAAGTCGAAGTAACTACCGTTTTAAAAGGGCTTTTTAATGAGTACACAAAAATCGAATTTATTATTGTTTAACAAGCTTTTTTTTGACTGGTTCATATAAAATTTCCCAATTTATGGCGCGAATATTTCTCTTTTTCTCTTCGTCTAGTTTCATTTACGAATGTATGACAAATATAAATCATACACCATTCGAAAGAGGAGAAAATTTCCCATTGGTCGATAAAAAAATTTCCTTTTTAAAACGTGTTTATTGAAGAGTTATTCAAGAAATATAGGAATCAACACTTGGCGCCGTTTTTCCAATTTCTATGAAAAGTGCGGATGTGTTTTGAGGGTGTGGGCGTAGCCGGGTGTGGGTGTGAGTGGGTGGGTGTGGGGTATGGGTGCGGGTGTGTGTGTAGCTGGGTGTGGGTGTGAGTGGGTGTTCAATTCGAGTATACACACACACACACCCACACCCACCCACCCACATTCACGCCCATCCACACCCACACCCACACCCCATACCTACCCCACACCCACATCCACACCCCACTCTAATTATAGTAATTTCTCCTTTATTATTGTTGCAAGCATTTTATTCATTATCAAAACAAGTAATTAAAAATGCATATGGTAAATGTGATTATGCATATAGAATTGATGAATATTCCTATCGACCCTAACGATTTTTCTATGAGTTTTTTTATTATAATCAAAATGTTAATATATACTGCAAATAAGGGGTGTGAGAGTGACGGCGACTGTTTCATATGCAAACTGTAGACGCTGTTAAAACGAAAAAGAAAATAGTTCCGATAGTTCCGGAACTGTTGAAAAGGTTCTAAAAGAAAGTTCCATAGCAAGCCCTCTACTATTGGCTAAAATTATTTCCCATTATTTTGACAAATATTTATTGAATATGACATGCTTAGATTATTGATTGCGTGAAAACACTCTTTACTGAATCACATAAATCATACGAGATATTTATCACAGTTGTCGTGACATACAGTCGAGAACGCAAGAGAAAAATATACTGATTCGACCGATGACATAGTACTACTAGGTAATAAAAGAGTAGAAAAACGAACAAATACATCACAGGTAAATAATTAAGTTTATTGGTAAGCGCTGCTAATATTCAATGCCAAATAGATCATAAAATACAATTCTTCTCTTTTCTTTTCGTATATAAAAAAAAAGTATCTTTAAAGTAGCATGTAAATTATCCTGTAAAATATTGTCATTTTATTATTGAATAATATGATGAAGTTCTAACATAAACAATGTTTTAATCTCTTCCCTCGATACGGAATGTTCGCACGCCTTTCGCAGCCATCATGGAACCATCATCGTTGTATGATAAATTACATTTGATTGCTTTCAGCTGTGGATACTGATCCAGATTGTCGATGATTTTTGTCAGCGCTGATTCAATCACTTTTGGTTCAAGCTTGCTTCCTCGCATGTTTGAATTCTTGAATTGGGCAGCAATAAATTGGACCGACCCACCACCACTTCTTCCAACCATCGTCCTATTGCTACCAAGAGTGAGCGAGTGATGTAAAGCATCGGCCACTTGTTGTAAATCTTCGGGCGCAAGTTGAGACATTGTCTCGGGATCATCAGGCAAACGAGAAAATTCACTCTTGTCAAATGCCAATGAGCCACTAGCCGCATTAAAATCAACCGTAAATTGACAGAAACGGCGAAAATTGTCGTCGTCTTGATTAGACATGAAGAAACGTCGTCGTATTTTTCCCGATAGAATATCTATGATGAAATGGATATGTATGAGTCAATATTTTGAGACACAAAAAAAGAGAAGTGTGACTCATCAACAGAGCGTTTCACTTGACTATTGAATCAGTATTATCGGGATTAGCCACTCTTACTTGTATTTTAACCATTTTTTCGAATGTTTCAAGTAAGAATAAATATCCGATCCAATACTGACCAATGAGTCATACTATTAACACGTGGAAATGTGAATGTGAGTGAATCAAAAGCTTGCAAAAGTAGAAGACTGATTTATATTCATTCTCGCTGTCGATTAATGTCTTGTACTTATGAACCGTCGTCAGAAAATGCAGGAAATCGAACGTGCTCAATCATTAATGTGATTTCGAACTCTTGACAAAGTCAAAAATCAGTCGTAAGCTAAAGAAACAAACAGTATCCCCATGAGCTGATGATTAGAAAGTAAACTCGATTCAAAATATGGACAGTCGCTACTGCAATCAGACATATATAAGAATTTTCGAGATATGATTTGTAAGGAATGTTATTCTTCACCTGATATTTTTCATACAAAAAAGAATCAACATACATGTAGAGCACACTAACGAGTGAAGAAAGAGAAAAGAATACGATATATACGATCTTTGTCTTTTTCTTCGCATGGTTGTAATTACGTGTGAAGGAGCGTATGTAAATTTTTCTCGGTAGAAAAATATCACGTGTACAATAACATCGCTAAGAATCATATCTCTACTATGCTTTGCTATGACTCATTTATTGCTACACTGCGGAGGACAAAAAACGTTTAATAGGGTGAACAATGTCAATCTTAAATCGATATTTCCAGGCATTAAGGGGATCCCCGTTTCCCCACCCAAAATTTTCAATTTTTTCATTTTTGGTTCTTTTTAGCTCGACGTATGCCTCTAAGTGCCCTCTATCTGTTGGACACGTTTTGCGAACTCAAATAAAGCTTCAAAGCCAAAAAAAAGTAATATTTTCCGTAAAAAATTTATATACAAAACTATAAAATATTTTTTTTTATTTTTCGGTTTCCTGGAGATCCGGTTTTTGCTTGAAAACCTTCAGAATCGCCCCCGCTTCTCAGAGACGGCTCCGTCAATCGAGCTGAAATTTTTTTTACAGATACTAGAGACCTTTTGGAGTGCCTACTTTTTTTGTTTTGAAAAATAATATTCTCTTGATTTTTTTTGCGGGTCTTATAAAAAAAGCTCTGGGTGAAAAAACATGGATTTTTTAGGGTGCTCTCGGTAATTTCGTCTTTTTACGCGAATGGAAAGAGATAGAAAGAAACGAAAAAAAGTAGGCATCCCAAAGGGTCTCTGGTATCTGTAAAATAAATTTCAGCCCTATCGGACGTACTGCGGCTGAGAAAGGGGGGCATTCTTGGCACTTGTGACCCCAATATCTTCCAGAAGGAAGCATCTGAGAATTTTGGGTGTGGGTGTGTGGGGTGTGGGTATGGGTGGGTGTGGGGTGTGGGTGTGGGGTGTGGGGTGTGGGTGTGGGTGTGGGTGGGTTAGTGTCTACTCTTCACAATAACACCCACACCCACACACACCCCATACCCACACTCACACCCATACCCACCCACACCCACACCCTTAGGATCAGTTGCAGCAACTGTTTGATTAGTTAATTGATTTTTATATTGAAAAAATGAATTAAGATTAGTTACAGAATTTGTTTGATTAATTTGTTGATTTTCATTATTACCAAGATGATTATAATAATTACGTTGTTTTAAACATTCTGTAACCAGCATACTTTGACGATCAAGATTACCTTGATCATCATTTTCCTATATGAAAGAAAGAATGTTATACTTAAGTAAAATTAGAGTTGAAAGCTTTGATAAGAGTTTTCGCTTGATAGAAGATGTTGTAAAACAATAATACCTTATCTTGTACAGTATTATAAAGTTCTTTGTGCAATTGTCGACGATATGCTTTACGTTTCTTGATCAAGGCTATAAATTTACGCTTATGGTCTTTTTTATATGTTTTAACCATTCGAGCTCCACTGTTGTTGAGAAACTACAATGGATGCAAGCCAAATGATCGTGAGCTGAGAGAAAAATCATAGATCATGTTCATTAGTACAATACTTTTTATTATATGCGGACAATATTTAACTTACTATTTCTTGGAAAAACATAATCGTCAAATAATTTTGAAATAGAATTTTTTATATTAACCATCTAAAAATGATAATTAGATTCTTTTAATTATTTATATTTAGATAATTGTGAACGACGTAAAAACAAAACAAAGAAAAAGGATCATCGCTAAAATAAAAAACTATTGATCCTATTTACATCTGTATCCAACCAAAGTCTAATTTTTGGTTTCAAATTTTACAGAAATAGCATTTGAATTTGATATGTAGATGCATCAATTCTAGTTAATGCTAATTCTAAGTCTTTGCTGGAAATGCAAGTTGAAAGTGGTCGGAATTGAATTAGGCATTGGTAAAAATCGTTCTTTAGCTAGTTGGAATCGAAATTAGTTAGAGAAACTGGACAAACCATCGTTGGACAAGCAGCAACTTTACCAGCTACAATGTAATATGATAACGGAAATTTATATAGTTGAATTTTTCTTTAAAGTAAGGTACTTAAGTAAAAATAAGGATTTTTTTAAAAGTTTGATCAAAGATCTTTGCGGTAGAGGTAACTCGGCCGAAAAATGAAGTATATAATGTTGAAAGACTTATTGTAGATTCGAAATCCTTGATTTCAAAAACCATTGGTCAAACTTCATTAAAAAAAAAGCCATTATTTTCCCTAAAAATCCTTACTTTAGTAAAAAAAATCAAGCACATAATTTTCCATTAGCCCGTTATCCAGTAACTGGTAAAGTAACTACCTGTGCAACGGTAGCTTTCTCCAGCTCTCCTAGCCAATTCCAATGGTGCCTACCAGTTCGAATTTCAAGTCAAGAATTGTAATTGTAATTGATGCATCCAAGGAACAAACATCATAGTTTTCTACTTTACAATGTATATGGTATGCTATAGTACGTAAAATTACATTAAACTGTTTTAAAGTAGCTTAAAATACGTTATATAAGGATAAGATACCTTAAAGTACAGTAAAGTATAAAAGTACGATGTTTCCTCCTTTGCTCATATACACGTATAGATTTGATTTTCATATTTCAACATAAGAACAAGCACAAGAAAAAGACCTGAACCTTTCACAATAAACTATTCTCGTTAATGTTGTATGTCTGTGTAAAGTTTTTAGTCGACATTCAGAAATCAATCTCCATTGTGTTGTTGAGGAGATCTACGATATTGATTTAAAAAACTAACGTAAAAATACAGTATCTTCGTAGCAATGATATGAGAATTCGAACTCTTTTTGGAGTATTCATAAATCATGGAGGATTACATGGATGCATATAGACCCGAGTCAAATGCAAATTATCAATTAGGAGAGTTCCATCATAAACTTAATATTTAAACATAAAAAAGTACTATTTTATGATTTTTTAATAGTTCACAATCATATCCTAAATAATACAAGGACATTAACAGTAATTAAACATATTTTTTTACAAAATAATATAAAATTTTCTTGATAAGAAAAGCTTGACAATCTCTGTCATTCGTGAACTACATATATTGTTTTCTTTTTGTTTTCATAATAATAAAGGAATGTTTATTGTTAATATTCATAAGAAAAAACAATTCAAAAATTGTATCGTGAAATATTATTTTTGACATGTGTATTGATCAATAATCTGAATGGTTTTGAAAAAAAATCAATATATTTATTATTTTTGAATAAAAATAAAAGGCATAAAATATTTTAAATCAATGCTTCAAACAATGATCATTTGATTTTTAATTTTTACCATAAGTCTATTTCATATTAATTAATGTAATCATAAAATTTTTCTCATAAACAACTGAAATTATCAAATGAATTATTTAAGAATTGTTTTTTTTTTTTTGTTCATGACTAGTCAAAGATTATAGTTTTCTACTAATGTCAAAAGCAGTACGTTTAACAGATTTTCTCTTTCAGAGGAGCGATTTAAAATTTCTAAAATGTAAATCTAATGTGTGAAAAGACGACGCTCTCTCGACCCTCATTTTCGATAAAATACTGATTCAAAGTATAATATTTGAATAGAGTATTTTTCCTATCAATATCAACCATGAATACTCGTTTATTGGTATTATTAAAAATGTCAATCGATTCAGTCAAAGTACAGTAGAGATATTTAAGATTTTCTTTAAGAAAAAGTAGCTATTGCGTTACTTTGTTTCAAGTATTCGAAAGTTTCAATCAAATCTGATCTATATCAACATTATGTTTGGTACACATTTCTATTTTTCTATGATAAAACAAATAAATGATTTTTTTTTCTTTCATTATTTCGATTAAAAAAATGCATAAATATATTTGAATTCGTCTGTATTTACCGATATGAAATTTTAATTTCAAACAATTGTATTATTCTAAAAATTTATTTCATTTATCGATTTCTTCGATAAGTGATCGATGATATTTTTTCCAAGTTTATTATCATCAGATGGTTTATTTATTGGTTTTTCATCAAATTGATTAACTCTTGTCGATAATTCATTTTCATTCGATAATAATATAAGATTTAATAATCGTAAATGATTATCATAAGATGAAGATAATATTTGAAGTAAATGAAATATTTCTCTTTGAATATCATTTATAAAATTCTCATTATTAGCTAATGTTCATGGTGAAATAATACTTACTTCATTACATATATCATTTTGTTCTTTAGAGTTCAGCTAATTTTTCAGATGAATTCGTTATTAATGATGAACAAGGTAAATTAAGTGGTCGATCAAATAAATTTGAACATAAACGATAATATCGTTCAAATGTTGATAATAAATTTGTTCAAGATATTGATGATACTCGTCGATTTTGACAATAATAATGATTAATATTTTCAATAAAAATATTATCGAATTCACCTTGATATTTCAATTTTTTTAATCAGATAATTTAAATGATAAACATAATGAATCATTACTATTAATCAAAGCTTTAAGATAAGTAACCATTGACAAATCACATAATTGTTCTAATGAATGTTCAACAAAATTTTTCTATTTTTTTTAAATAATAGATAAATTATTTGATAATGATGATGGAAATCGTATAAGTAATGTTAAAGTTGGTGATGACGATGATAGTTCTCTTGTTTCTGATTATTTTCATGTTAGAATATGAATACCAAAGTTATCTAATCATTTTTAATTAAAACGAACAGAATATTAATTGGACGAATTTTGTTCTCGTTGAATTATATTACATTATATTGATAGTTTTTTAATATATAAAAAAGTTTCTAGATATAGATAAATCATCAGATGTTTCATATGATGATTGTACAACGGTAAAATTATCGTTGTGATGATAAATCATGAAGATATTTGACAGTATTTAATAGATTTTGAACAACTATTGTCCTAAAATAATCAAATCAATAATAAAATAAAACAAACAAAAAAATGTTCAAGTCAATTTAATTCTACATTGATTTTCAATAATTATCAATATTTGTTGTACGTATCATTGATGTATGATAAACATATGTATCAACATATTAATGTTGATTCATTTATTTTTCATGAATAGTTTGTTTTTTAAACAGTACTGTTCTATTTGATATCATTGAATTATATACATCTGATATATATTATATATATAAAGTTCTACAAATATTTTGTAAAAACAAAACAAAACAAAAGAGAAATTATTTGAAAATTCATCGATGAAATAAATTCACTACTAATATTAATATCATGATTATTAAAATATCATATTACAAATAAATTAGATTGGTATCATAACGGAAAATCACATTTTATCTCATTGAAATAAGAAGCAAAACAAGCCTCCTTGTGTTATCTATAATTGTTGTATTTTAATAATCTTTATAGTTTTTAAATCGGTCTTTTATGCAAATATCATTGTATTAATAAAAACGAAAAGTTAAACAAAAAGCACTTATTTCATTTTTATTCGATTAGATTTTGATGATATTTTAATGTAAATATTAAATTGATTTTTTAAAGTATTTATGCTTAATTTTTCTTCAGTTAATTTCAGTACTTCTACACGATATCTGTGTATGTGATTGAATTACGTGTGTGGATGTGTGCATTGTGTAGAAGATTTTTTATTTTTAACTTTAAAATATAAGTGAATATTATATAAATTCAAAATGAATATTTTTTTTTAAGGAATAATTAAATAAACTAAAATATATTACATAGATCAATTTTTCATCTTTCAATATGGACTAGACTAGATGTCGCATTAATATAGTATGGACATTCAACATTGACTTCTCATCGCATTCATATTAAATTTACCATAGTTAAACTTCTACTTATGAACACCACGTAATTGTGAACAGTTTCAAATTTGATCGAATGATTTTTTTGTACTGAAAATGTCTTTCTGTCTAGTAGATGTATACAAGTCAGGAGTTTTTCCATCAAAACGTCAATTTAAACTAAGCTTTTTTCAAATATTCTATTCTACATGAACAGATTAAAATACTAAAAATTTCATTCTTTATAAAATAAAATTGAGTTTATAAGAAAATATCGCAATAAAGAAAAAAAAAGGTAGCTGAATAAAAAAAGAAAGTAGCTGAATAAAAAAAAAGCAGATTATCCAGAAACGAGATGACTAATCCAAGTTGGAAAAGGTTATTTATTTACTTATTACAAGGATTTTTAGTCTTCTTTCATCTTGAACTAAATCTATAGAAATATTTACTATTTATTATTTCTATTTTTATGTTATTATATTGAATTACGAATAGAAATTAAAGTATATAAAAAGTCTTCTTCCCCTCTCTCTCTCTGTATGTTTGTATATAGTTGTATTATCCATAATTCAAAATATAAAAGCAAAATATAAATAAAAAATAATCAATCTGTGATTCTATGTGTGCCGATATATACGTCACGGCTCGCTGCTCTTCCTCTTTCCTCTTTC